TGCAGGAATTGCCGGAGCGGGAGGCAGGGGGAAATGGAAGCCCCGAGTCTCGCGAGAAGAGGAAGGGCAGCGAGAGCGAGAGAGAGAGAGAGAGATGGGGCGATCCCTGAGACGGTGATGTCGGCGTGCTTTTGGGGAATGAGGCGCGCCTGACGTGAGGTGATTCGCCGGTCGCGGGGACAGGGAGGCCGGCACGAGATTTGAGCCGGGAGGGGTGGGTGGGGGGAGGGGATGCGGTGCGTTCCCTGCCGAAAGCGGCTGAAAGGGAAGCGGCGGAGGATTTTGACCCTCCGCCCCCACTCCCCGCAGGAGGCTGACAGTTAGCCCGTCGTTGTTGTCCTTTGCCCTGCACGCCCCTCATCTGGGTTGGACTTGTGGGACGGGGCGGGGGAAGGAAGGGAGGAAGGGGGGGCGGAGGCTCCGCGGCGTTGCCGACCCTCTCCAGCCCCCTAAGGGAGGGGGGCCCCCCGGCGGCTCTTCTCCCGCGGCATCCTCCGGGACGGCGCTTCCGAGCCCTCCCTTCTCCTCCACCCCATCTTCCTCCACGACCTTTCTCTCCAAAAGGGCCCCGAGAGGGAAAGAGAGAAACTCTCGGGTGCCTCGTTAACGTTTAACAGGGCAAAGGGTGATAACGCAGCTTGGCTGCTCTCTGGGGCTCCAAAAAGGGGGCGGTTGTGTCAGTAGGACGTTTTTCAGCAGCCATCTGACCCTTCGTGGTCAATAAAAGCAGAGGTAACGTTTCAAACGGGGCAGAGCGTCGGGACTGTTTGCTTGTTGGGTTTGTGGACCAGCAAACGTGTGGCAGAGTCAGTCTGGTCGCACTTAAGTTAATCCTGGTGTCAGGGTAGATAGTGGTAGCAAGAGGCTGCAAATGGAAGAGAAGATGTGACAGGGGCTTGTAGTTCTTTCCTAGCATCAGAGCATTGCACAGTTTGAGATTATGGAGGCATATAAGATATAAACACATTTCAAAGAAATTAAAGTAATTACCAGAAGCAGCTTACTTCAATTGCATTATCTTGGCCATTTACTATATCTTTTTCATACAAGTGGTAGGGCATAAAGTGCATGCACATAAATGCTGCATTGATTGAAATTCCCCACTTTCACAGGAAATTTGTCCTATATCTAAGTAACCCCATTTTGCTTGATTATTTTTTTGATCTTCTTCCTCTGCTTTGAAGTCTATTAAATGATTTCTAGGTAGTCCAGCCAGAATCTTGTCCTGATGGGTGACACTCTTTGGCATTCATCCACTTGGCAAGGTGTGTTGTTTTTGCTCTTCACAGTTTTAGCCTAGCCTCTTCTAGGGTTTAGTATTTAGAATTTGAGAAATGTGCAGAAAACGATTTCTCAATTTTAGCTATCATCTAGGGCAGGGGTCTCCAAACTACAGCCCGCAGGCCACATCCAGCCCACCTTTCCTTTTTATCCAGCCCAGGTATAAGAAGAGGATGGAAGGGGGGCCCAAGCAATCCCCCACCCCCTCTGTATTTGCAAAGACAGTGGGGGTGGGGGATTGCTTGGGTCCCTTTTCTCTCCTTCAGCCCTCAAAAATTTGTAAAATATATGATGTGACCCTCACACTGAAAAGCTTGGAGACCCCTGATGACTTTGGTGCTATATTATCTTATTTCATTCATTATTTGCTAGCCCCTCGCGGCATACTTCTGGAGGGACACTGCTAGCCAAATAATAGACTTTTTCAATGGGGGTAGGTCTCAGGCAGCCATAATAATCCTGCATTATTATTACTTCCAGTTGTTTCGCATGTGCTAATCTATAATGCACAGCAGTAGAATATTCTATTGTGGAATAGCATGGGGAAAAAGCTGTTGTTCTTATTGTTCGTGGGTGTGCACCCAAAGTCTTACCCAGCCAATTTCTTAAGTGCATTATTTCTGACAGAAACTTTCTGTTTTATGTTTAAACAGTGTTTTTTTGTAGGTCAGAGTTCGATCCAGAGTGACACCCAAATACTTTTTGGGGCAAGGCAGTATTCCAATAGGTTGCCTTCCCAGCTAACTGGGAGTTTTCTCTCTGCTTCTTTATTCTTTAAATGGAAGATACAGATCTGTTTTTAAGGGATTTCATTTCAGCTAGTTGTTGAGAAAGATCTTATAATGCAGGGGTTAGCTGATGCTCAATGGACTCAAAATTTTCTCTCTGGACTTTCGGAAGTCCCCCTGGACTATGCAAATTCATCAGTGTAAATGAGACTCCTGGAGTACAAGAACATTGATTGATCATTTGTGTAAATGTTAAAAACTAATGGTGCCAGGACACTGCCCTGTGAGAGACTGTTTCTTTGATTTCTCTAGTGACTGACCTTCCCTTTATATTTAACAAAAAATCTTGAGTTTTGAAGTACAGTGGTACCTCGGTATACAAACGTCTCAGTTAACGTAATTTTCGGTTTGTGAATGAAAATCTACCGAAAATAATGCCTCGGTTGACAATTCTTTTCGTAATACAAAGCAGGTTTCTCCAGGATGCATTGTGCCTGGGAGGTTTATAGTGCCGCCCCGTGCATGCGTTCCTATGGGAAACCACGTTTCAGTTTGCATTTTTTTTACAATACAAAACCTCCCGGATAATGAATTAAATTTGTAAAACAAGGTACCACTATAGTGTAGTTATGTTTTTGTTAGTCCATGAGCTTCAATAAGAAAGATAGTGGCTTGATAGAGACTATCGGATGAATTGGTAGTAGAGGGCATATTTGAACCAGGCAGTTCTTGGCCCAAATTGAAACAAGTGCCTCATATTCTTTAGTATCTCAACAGTAAAATATCGCCCAAGAGAGGGCTAGTAGCCCAGTGGCAGATCACTTGTATGCATGCAGAAAATCCAAGGTTCATTTCCTGAGATGTCCAGATAGGACAGAAAGATATCTTGTCTACCAACAGTGAGTATACAAATACTAAAAAGGATCAAATAAATATTATACGAAAAACAAAAACAACACCAAAGCACATTCAAAGCAGCACAATACAACAATCCGTTAAAAAAACCCACTCACTCACGCAGTCAGTCAGTCAAGGAAAGCCTGCCATTTGAAAAAGGCCTTCACATGTTTGTGGAAAGACAGCAAAGATCAGGCCAGCCTTGCCTCCTTTGGGAAGGGGTTCCAGAGTCTGGGAGCAACAACAGAAAAGGTCATCTCCTGTGTACCCACTTGTGAATGTGGCAGCTCTGAAACAAAGGCCTCTCCTGATAATCTTGACATTCAAGCAGGCTCATAAAGGGAGATGTGCTCCTTGAGCTAGTGTGGACCATTTAAGGCTTAATAGGTTAGAACCAACTCCTTGAATTCAGCCCCAAAATGGATCAGCAAACAGTGGAAATGCTGTAACAAGGGGGTTATGTGATTCATGTAACCAACCCCATTCAGCGATCTGGCTGATATGTTTTGGACCCACTGAAGTTTCAAAACACTTTCCATAGGCAACCCCATATAAAGTGCATTACAGTAATCCAGCTGGGATGTAAATAAGGCATGTGTCACAATAGCCAGATCAGACCTGTCCATAAATAGTTGCAGCTGGAGCACTAGTTTTAGTTGTGCAAAGGCATTTCTGTCCACCAGTGAAACCTGGACATCCAGGCTGAGAGATGAATCCAGGAGCACCCCTAAGCTATGTCCCTGTGTTTTCAGAAGGGAGTGCAACCCCATCCAGCACATGCTGCATCCTTATTCCTTGATCTGCCTTTTGACTGGATTAAGTTCAGTTTCACCCTCATCCAGTCCATTGACATCAGACCCTGGTCTAGAGCAGTTCCAATGATTCTGTGAAGGCACTGAATTCACTACCTGAGTTAGATGTTCCCAAGCAAAAAAAGCTGATGAAATAACGGAACTGATCTTCCTTTCAGCACTCAGACTATACAAAATAGAGCAGGACAAAGTTTTTGTGGCTGCAAGGTATAAGGAAATGAACCTGAGGAACCAAACGGAGTTTGAAGATACCATTCTTGATATCTTCTCAAATCATTTATGAGGCAAAGCTGGAGTGTGGTGAATGTCTTACCGAGTCTGTGCAGGGACTTTTTACCTGTTAGGTTTCCAATCTTTGCTTCAGCAGATTGATTGATTGATTGGATTTATACCCCGCACCATCTGGCAACCACGTCACTCGGGGCCGCTAACAACAAAATAAACAGCACAATATTAAGACACGAGAAAAAATTAAAATAATACATACATTCAAACAAATATAATAACCAGCAAGATAAATTAAAACATGGCAGTGAAGGTGGTAAAAGGATGATGAAAAGGATGACAAAAAGGGTGGCACAAGGGAGGCCCCTCTATGTGTGGCTAGAGGGGCCAGAATGAAATGCTTTAGGGAAAGGGTTAATCTGACAAAGCCTCAGATTCCTTGGTAATGTGATTTCAGCAAAATGTTTTTAGCAGGAAAGTTTGTTTTCATGTGCTGTCAAGTTGGAACGGACCCTAATAGGGCTTTCAGAGTAAGTCAGATATTTAAGTAGTGGTTTTACCAGTTCCACAGCTTCAGTGAACTTCCATGGCTGAGTGGAGATTTGAACCCATGCCTCATAGTCTGTCATTCTATTCACTATACTGTACTGGGTATCCCAGTACAAAGGTAGCAAGCAGAAATCTGGAATGTTTGGCACAAAGAACATCAGAAGTCAACAGCAATGATGCTATGAAAGAATTGAGGAGAACACTAAAACCGTCTGGGTGCTGAAGCTTTTATTTGAGAAGATGTGAATAAAAGGGATTAGGATCTGGTTCTGTCTGGGTGGACTCCTGGCCAGTACAGACAAAAGCAGGGATATAGGTGTGGTTAGGGTGGACCATAATTTTCCCAGGCAAGGCTTCATGACTGTAAACCTACTCCAAAAAGTGCTTCCCTGGAGTATCATACATACCCAGATGCAAAGCATTGGTAATATATAACTGAGTATATTTGTTGCCCATTTCTGATTGCTAGAAGTCAGGTCTGTGTCGTTTATATGGGTGTCATATTAGCATGTGTACAGGACCTATGCTTTGCTGGTCGTATTCCAATTCCTAAATTTTTCTGGTTGTCACAGCATTTTTCAAGCAAAACTGCCATACTACTGTGCTGTGGTGGCGGCAACGGATACGCTGCCAGCACCAGCTGCTCTGGATCCGCCTGCCAGATCCACTGCCAGCACCGCGGCTGCAGCCGCCTTCTCAGGTTTGGTGGCGGCGCTGCGGCAGGAACAGATCCGCTGCCAGCACCAGTTGTTCTGGATCTGTCTGCCGGATCCACTGCCATCACGGCAGCTGCAGCTGCCTTCTCAGGTTTGGCTCGCTCCATTGCCCCGATATCACTTCCCTTCCGTTCCTTCATCCCCGCATCGCCCCTTTTCGTTCCATCGCCCCCCTAAAAATGAAATTGCCCTCTGGGGGGCGATATCACCCAGGTTAAGAACCACTGTCTTAGACTACGTCTCCCATCAGCTCTTGCAAGCAGGGTCAGTGATTATGTGAGATGTGGTGCAAAGTGTCTTTGGCATACAAGATGGAGGAAGAATGTCATGCATAAACAATACTGGAATATCTCATAAAATACAATACCAGGTTAACACTTTATTCATTTAACTTACATTATGATTTTTACACACAAAAGGAGCTAAGGGTAGCTAACAGTAATAAAATTTAAATAAAGTAAAATCTTAATTGAAATCTAACATAAATAAATTAAAATAAATTAAAAACACAGTGACAGAACCAGCAGCTATCCAGTTAGAGTCCTTCTTTGGCTGAACAGCTCTTACCCGGGACTGTTCTGAGTAAAAATGCCTTTGTTTGAAAATTGAAGAACATTGCAAGAGCTGAACTAGCCTTCAACCTAACTCTGAACTCAGTGCAACAGCTAATGTTTCCTTGCTGCCATTGACTTAAATTCTGTTGCACAGCATAGTATGTTTCACTAGAGTAAGCACATTGAATCAGTGGGGATTTGGTGAATCAACTCCTCTGTAAATCCCATTGGTTCAAATGGGCCAATTATGGCTAGTTATGGCTGTCTGTGGTACAATAAATCACAACTAGACTAGGCCCATTTGAATGAGTAGAACTTGGAGGAGTTGACTCGCAAAATCTCAACTAACTAACTTCCTTCCTTCCTTCCTTCCTTCCTTCCTTCCTTATTAATATACTGACTTAGTATTGGGCACTACTCTACATGATTTACAAAGATAAAATAAGCAATAACCCTAACCACCAAACAGAACCAATAAAATAAATACTTCAAACAGTTGATACAGTTGCCCTACTCTAGTGCAACTGAGGGTGTGACTGGAAGGTCTCTTTTCTTATCTCTTTTCTGTCTGTATAGAGGTGATCCAGCATGAACCTAATTTATCAGTGCAGTGATAAGATGATCTAGTCTTAAACTCAGTAGTTTGTGTAATTAAAAAAGAAGTGTAGGCAACTAGGGAGAAAAATGGTGGGGATAGGTGTTTTTACTGTCCCAAAACACCATGCCCCAGCTTAATATATCATCATAGCACCATAGAGTCATTCTCCCCTGTCCTTTTGTAGACTGATTACTGTTCAAAATTTTTCCAGCATTTAAAAAGTAAAAGTCCCCAGAGGTAGGGGGAAAACTCTGAATCTGAAGCAAAAAGAACTGGGCAAGTTCGCATAAGCTTTGGAGTTGTGTGATAATTGAAAATTATTTCAAATTGACTTTCTAATTGCGGAGCAAATCCTGAAGTATTCCTCAATGTAGTCACAGCCTTATTATCTAAAGCAACAGAATTTCAGCCAGTACGTTGTAGTGGTTAGATTGGGTTGTATTTCCAGAGGAGGCTTTTGTGGTCCATTCCCCTTGCTTCAACCAACATTTTTACAAGTGTTCTAGATCTATGTTCTTGGACTAAAACTCCCAGAAGCCTTCACCACTAGCTGTCATGGCCAGGATTTCTGGGTATTGTAGTTGAAAAACATCTGGGGACCCAAGGTTGCAAAGCACTGGCCTAGATAAATTCCTGTTATATCTCGAAGAAGTAGCTGTGTTTGTCTATGCAAGCATAGCAGGCAAAATCCAAAGAAACAAAAGAGGGACAAAAACATGTGGCACCGTAAAGACTATTACAGTATATTTTAATGTGAGCCTTCTGAAATCTGCAAACGCTCACATTAAAATATAATAGTCTTTAAGATACCACATGTTTTTGTCCTTGTTTTGTTTCTTTGGATTTTGCCTTATATTGTCTTCCAACTGTAATCCTTCCTTGCTTTCCCAATATTCCTTCCAGCTTTTTTTCACCCCATGAAAATCCATTAAGGAGGGATCAAATGGAATTATTGCACTATTTATGTGTTTATTTATATATTTACAATATTTCAATGTGGCCTTTCTCCCCAAAAGGACCTAAGGCAGCTTGGGTCTATGCCTTTTGACTGGTACTATCCCTATCCATTAGGAAGCATCCCATAACAGATGAGCAGGGTTTATTAAGAAATTTTGGTGGCCAGTATGGAAATTTACTTGTAGTATACTGGCTTTCTCGATAGTGGATGGTAGCCACAAAGTTTTGTAACAACCAATATTGTGGGTGGGTCAACTGTTATTAAATAATATAGATGTTTTCAAGTTATACTTAATTAACCTTCTAACCTTTTCTCTCTAAAGGAAATGTCCTCCTCTTAAGTACCAGGACTTAGTTCTAGAACATGTGAAACATTAACAAAGCAGAAGAGCACATTTCTTATTGCCAAGTAACCACATTCTACCGCTCCTCTCCATCTGCTGTGAAAGAGAAGGTCTTCAGGTGAGAAGATATAGTTTGTAGCCATAATGTAACCATAACACTTGTTCTTTGTTAAAGTTGAAAAAAAAACCCTGTGATGCAGACAACTGTTAATGGTTTAATTTTAATGCTTTGAAAGAGCTTTCTCCAGAACTTGGTTCCTAGGAATGATCACCAGAAATCTTTGAAATTAACTGATATTCACTCAGCTGAAATCCTGTCACTTAGCCTAATAAGTTGTAGCTAGAATAGGCCCATTGAATCAGTGGGGATTTGGTGAGTCAACCCCTCTGTAAATTCCATTGATTTAATGGACCTGTTCAAATTGTAACTTGCTACATGAAGCAACAAGATTTCATCCATTAGGTTACTAATTAATTCTATGAATTAATTGACACATTTTTAGAAAGAGATTTTTGTTCGTGGAACATAGCAGCAGCAAAGTATTTGTACAAGAAATTTCTACACACATCACTATAAGGAAAGTCTATGTTGTTATTTTCAAACTGCAGACACAGAGCTGGTTGTAGAGCACCAACAGTTTTAATAGCAGAGGCAATATTCAAACAAGAATTGTGAATCTCGGATATTATACTACTTTAGTACAGTGGGCCCTCGACTTACGAACTTAATCCGTTCTGGGAGGACGTTCGTACCTGGGAAAGTTCGTAAGTCGACTTAGCATTTCCCAATCGAAATGCATGGGAACGGAATTAATCCGTTCCAGCATTAAAAAAAAACCCCAACCCAAAATAAAGATAAAAAGAGCAAGTCCCACGTTGGGACTGCAGAAACTCTCTCTCTCACACACACAGAACCACAGAAACAGAACCCCACCTAGTCCAAACCCACCCTCCAAAACCCACACAGAAAAGTTTTAGGACTTACCAGTGAGCCAGTGCTTCGCTGCCTCCACGTGGCCTGGGGCAAGTGGCCAAGCGCCCGGCCAGCTCTAGCCTCCTGGCACTGGGTGAGCTTTGGTGGCTCCGAAGCCAAAAAGGCAGGGAGAAAGGGCGGGAAATTTGAATTTCCTGCCCTTCCTCCCTGCCTTTGGAGCTTTCAAAGGGCTTCCTCCAATGTCGTGGAAAGCCCTTTGAAACCTCTGAAGGCACCGATCGTGGTGGCAGAGACACGCGTGCAAGCCCTGAGAGACCTCCCTGGGGGTCCCTGCCGCCGCGATGGGCGGCTTCAGAACTCTCTGAAGCCAAAAAGGCAGGGAGAAAGCACGGGAAGTTCGAACTTCTCCTGCTTTCTCCCTGCCTTTTTGGCTTCAGAAGCAAGCCGGCCGGCCAGGGAGAAATCGGCGCCCTCCTTCCACCCGATGGTGAGTCCCCTTTGCGCCGGCTGAGACCTCCCTGGGGGTCCTCGCCCCCGCGATCAGTGCCTTCAGAGGTTTCGAAGGGCTTTCCCCGACATTGGAGGAAGCCCTTTGAAAGCTCCAAAGGCAGGGAGGAAGGGCAGGACATTCGAATTTCCCGCTCTCCCTGCCTTTTGGGTTCGTAACCTGATCTGCGTTCGTAAGTAGGGTTTACTACTTGCGATGAGATCGGGTTCGTAACCCGAAATGTTCGTAACTAGGGCCGTTCATAAGTCGAGGGCCCACTGTATCCAATTTGTCATCAAAGTGTTAATTTAAAATTCCACTTTTTCCATCAAAGTGCGGGATTTAGACTAATATGTGTCTCTTTATGTAACAATAACGTTACACATACATGTGTTTAGATAAACTATCAGCTACAAAAGTGGTTTCTTAACCTGTTTCTACTCTAGATGCCAAGTTCAAATCCCACTCCAAATATTGATACTATATACCTTTATTATACTCTTAGGTAAAGTATTTTGCTTTGCCCATTATTGATTGATTCTTTTAAATCCATTTTCTTTTTGTTAATTATCAGCAACAGTTTGGCTGAGGAAGAAACCTTATGGCATGCAGTGATACCATTCTGTTACTCATGTTCAGTCAGGAAGTAAACATAAATAGCTAGACTAATTTTGTCTCCCATGGAAATGTGAGAAGAGGAAGTGAACTTAGTTGACTAAAATTTATTTTTAAAATATTAGGAAAACAGCCCCCCCCCAGATTAATTTCCTTTCTCACAAGATTGTAATAAAGCAAATAAGGAGTTGCATACCAGTCAAATATTTTACAAACTGTTTGTTTCCTGAAGTTAAAAATTGCCAAATGTCCCATGAAGCCACAAGTGTCACAGTGTTGATAGCCATGTGCCTTCTCTTTGTTTTGTTTTGTTTTTTTCCATGAGGGTGTCACTTGTTAGGGAGGGAGGGAGTAAGAGCTGCTTGCTCACCAGTTCTGAAGTGGTCAGAGGCAAAACTAGAGACATAGCAGAGGTTCTCTGAAAGGCCATCTGGAACTGCAGGTATGTCTAACTAAACAGGCTGTCGTCTGTGGCATTGCCTGGGACAGCCCACAAAACATTTTGCTTTCTGCTGAGATGTGAGAGTATACCACCCATTTGATCTGCTTCCCTGCTCTTTAAAGCTCTTGTGAGAGATTGGATTTGGCTCTAGACATTTTAAACTTTTACAGAACAATCCAATGTATGTCTAATCAGGTAGGTTAAGGTAGTATTGCAGTGTTCAAAAGTTAATTTTACTAATTGTACGTAAGCCACTTTGGGAACCTTTCTGAGTGATATACATGCTTTAAATAAAACAAAATATGCAGTTTTGAAGTCAGTGTAAGTGTTGAACTGATTAAAGTATTTTTAAAATATTAATACAGTTAATGCTTGCACACGCGCGCACGTACATGCACTCTCTCTCTCTCTCTCTCTCT